TTGCCCAGAGAGGTGGTGGATGCCCCATCCCTGGAAACATTCCAGGTCAGGTTGGACGGGGCTCTGAGCAACCTGATCTAGTTGAAGATGTCCCTGCCCACGGCAGGGGGGTTGGACTAGATGACCTTTAGAGGTCCCTTCCAACCCAAACTATTCTATGATTCTATGATTCTATGAATTTAAGCCTCTGGGATATTTATCTATAGCTGTGTGCCTGTCACACCATGGCTAATACAGAAAGTGTTGGGGAATAGACCTGGAAAAAATGAGATCTTGTAAAAGCTGCAAAGTGGCCACTCGATGACTCTCTAAAGGACAACCAAGAAGTGCTTCTGTCAGTGAAGGCCAAGCCCTAGCACTCTCTTCCTTCTTGAAACCTTCCACGAATCCCCTGGCTGCCAAAGGTCCCTGGGGGCCTGGCCAGCCACCCAGCAGTGAAAGCCTGGCAAGCAGCTGCCAAAACAAAACCCATGATCTGGGCAGCCACTGGTGCCTGGATGAATTCTGCTCATAGCCCCTTCACAAGGGATGAGGCTCAGCAGCGGGGGAGAACAGCACACGCATCGTGTCAGTAATCTGGGACTGGATGTGCTTCATCCACCCCCCAAATCAGCTGTCAGCACAGGCTCCAGTAATACCACCAGGTTAAAAATAGGAAGTGCTAATCTTTATCCCTCAAACTTTTGTTATGCTGTCTCCAGAAAAGCAACAAGCGCTAATATGATTGCCCCTTTTAATCAGCAGATGAAAGTCCACCTCCTCCCAGCATCTCCTGCCTCCACATGCACCTCCTCCTAGCAGACAGGGTCCTCTCCTTGCTGCTGGAGTAAACCCTACTCATTTTGAGGGTCCACAAGCATAAACACAGGGAAAAGTCTGATCACACCTTCATGTCAGTTCAGCCTGTAACTTTGGGGGTGGGAGAGGCAGTTAAGTCCCGAAGGAATCCGTAGCAAAGCAGGAATTAACCTAGGAGACTGTGATTGTCAAGTTATCCTTGTAGATATGTCCCCCTCATTCCAGAAGAGAATCGAGTCAAAGCTATCATGTTGAAAATCTCTGCTTCCCCCCACCCAGAACCAAGTGTAGCACTCCCCAGCTAATAGTGCCGTTACTGTATTTGTGCCTTAAGGTGGAAGCCTCTTGCACAACGTTTCAGTGAGCACATAACACACCAGAGGCTCCAGCACACATTCTGTACATACAAACCCCCTGTGCAGACAGCGGCTCCAGCCAGGCACCCCGCTGGCTTGGAGCAGCAGCCCTGTTACTGCCTCTCTGTCCGACATCTGCAAGGCTGTAATTTTATTTGTGTTTTGCAGGTAAAAGATGAAAAAAACATACAGGAAATGTTCGACCTGAGTGATTATGAGAAATGTGAAGAGCTCAGGAAGTCCAAAAGCAGAAGCAAAAAGAACCACAGCAAATTTACCCTTGCCCACTCCAGACAGCCTGGAAACACGGTACACTTTGCTTGCAAGCATGCGGTCAGCCCGAGAAAGCCATTAGATCTTGGGGGTGAAACTGGATAGGCTGAGTTGTGTAGGAGTCCAGATCATGTCTCGTGGTTTAAAATATGTGAACGTCTATTTACCACATCAGGACTGATAGCACCAGTGAAAGATGGAGAGGGAAGCAGGGTTTCTGCTGGGAGAGGACTTGGGCCTCTGGTGCACTAAGTAAATATGACCAAGCACTTAGCTCTGGATCCACTTACCTGAGAGCATTCTGATTTTGGGAAAGGAAGGTATCGGAACATTTGCCAGGAGCAAGGACAAAGCCATTTTACTGCCGCCACTCCTGGCAGCTGTGGTTTAGCTGATTGCACTCGATTATTCACGGGGCGGGGCAGGGAAGGGAGGGATGCTGATGGTCCTTGGGTTTGCTGCCCAGATTTGGGCAGGATCAGAAGAGCTGCACGGGAATTTGTCCCAGGAGTACTTTCTGCCCAGAGGAAAGCTAAAAAGTGCCGGAATGGGGGCAGTGCTACCTAGGAGCAGGACTTTCCATGAGGTCTCAGTTGCCACTGCAAAAAGAGAGCCAGTCTCTAACTGCAAGCTGTCTCTGGCACAGATGCACCCACCCGCAGCCACACACGTGAGCTGGATTTACACTATTCATTCTGCCTTGTTTCAGTAGACCAAGCTTGCCCGCCCCACGCTTTGATAAGGATTGTGTAACACCATGAAATGCGAAAAGGGAAGAGAAGGGGAAAATAGAAAGCGGCTGCACTGTCCCCAAGCGCCCTGAGCAACGGAGAGAATTGAACAAAATGCTGTGGAAGCTAAAACTCATTTCTACTGAGTATCTAGCTTAAAAAACCCCTAAGGATCCTGGATCCCCTATACAGGCCATATTTTCAGAAGTGCTCTGCCCTCAGCGTGCATCTGACATATCAAAGTATGGAAAATCCGGCTCCTTCTGTGGGTACCTACTGTAGCTACTTGTCTAACAGGCTCTGTCAAAGTCTGAGGTGGCAACAGATAAATTGCATGTGAGCAGCAGATGCACAGAAAGGCTGCCTCATCGTTTGATGAGGGCAAAATCTAGGATGGTGTGTGGGAAGGCAAAGAGGGGGAAGGAGGAACTGCAGCCACGAGGGAAGTAAATATGGCACACAGCTTTTGGTTTGAAAAGCTGGGTACTGTGAGGAATCATGGTCTGCTTTGCAAAGGGCTGCCAAGAAGCAGAGAGGCCAGGTGCAGCGTGTGGCAGACCAGTGCTGTTTTGCAGGACTGGAGGATCAGGTCTGCTTTGCATTTTCCCACTAAGGCAAGCCAGCTGTAAAGGCCGTGTAGCTTTTCTGTGGGCAGGGACAGTGTGAAAGCATCTCTGTATGAGTTTAGTCACTGGCACTGACCTGAATTCCCTCTTTTGTAGGCACCAAATCTGATCTTCCTGGCTGTGAGTCCAGAAGAGAAAGAGTCCTGGATTAATGCCCTCAACTCTGCAATCACACGTGCTAAAAACCGCATCTTAGATGAGGTGAGCAGGACTCTGAGGGCTGGACCCAGGCTCCGTTGTCTCAACTTTAATCTTGGGTGAAGATTTTAGGCTGCCAGAGACAGCAGCAGCCCCTCCTACCCTCTCCATTTCCTATTTAAAAGGAGTGCAAAGCCATTGGGGTTTTATGGACTGCACTCAACCACAGCCACCGACACCTACAGAGTGGGCTCTTCTGAAGGTCTGGGATAGTTTGATCCTCCCAGCCTCAGGATTAATACGCAGCACTGATTGCAAAGCAATGGCAAGGGGCAGCTGCCAAGGCTCCGTCCCCTCCCTGGCACACCCAGCCCCAGTGACATGCCTTCACTTCGGGGCCCAGCCTTGCCTCGCACAGGGACGGTGGGACTATGTTTGGAATGGTTTCTCAGGGCTTTGGAGAGTCTTTCCTTGCTGCTCCTGGATGATCATGCAATGTGCTCATGTTTGCAAAGGAGCTTTAAGTAGCGGAACTGAATTAAGGAATTAACTGAAAACCAATATAGTCCCATGCTATCTTCGGAGCACCCTAATAGCACGGCACCATCTGTCAACCCACCTCAGTCCATCTTCATCCTTTCACCAAGGCTGCAGTTTGAAAGAGCATTTCAACGCTGTCGCACATTAACGCTTCATGACAACTATTCTTCAGCTTAGATCTGTCTCAGATCTCTCTCATCCACATTCAACTTACCGCAATACAGGCGGCCCACTGCTGTGATGCTGTTTGTTCTCATGGATGGCCACACAAAACCCTGTAGTGAAGGAAAACGAAGGTCAGACCATAGGAAAAGCTTTAGAGCAGAAAGCAGCATAGCAAACAATGGTATAGATTGCTTCAAGGAGAGTCTGTCACTGAAATCTTTACAAACAGATTCAACAGATAATTGTCAGGAATGACTTAAGTAGATCTGATCCCATCAAGTCACAGAGGGGAGAGACCAGGGAAACAGACTCTTCTAAGGCTGGATTCCCACACCCCATTCCCTGCTGGCTCTACCTGCAAATCTCCTTCTGTGCATCCTTGTAAGCACATAGATCAGCGAGTGCCACCTACAAGTCTTGGACCAGTGATGGCCCTTGGGACCAGTATGTTGTCGACACTGTGCAGGCAGGTTTTACAAACCTATCAGTCTGTGCGTGCCTGGGCACACTCACTAGGGAGGGTGTTCAGACTGTAGCCATCCAGTAACACCAGGCGGTCAGGCTGTGCTCCCAGACGCGATCCTGGCCCAGCTCGGCAGCCAGAGGAGTCCAGCAAGTTAGCACGTCGGGAATGCATTGCTTTCCTCATTCCAGCTCAGCACTAGGTTTGGTTCAGGTGGTGATCACAGCTCTCCTCCTGTTCAGCAATCATTTGCACTACAGAATTGCAAACTCTGTATTCGAGTCCAGGATTCGCTGTTTGCAACCCCAGCTTCTGTCTGCTGAGCACTCCTGCCTGACAGCCTTTAGCGAAGGATCCTGGCCCAGAGGTATGTGGGAGAAGTTCACCCTCAGCATATGGCCAGGTCACAAGAGAAAAGGAATCCTGGAGGAATAGATGATCTGCCACAGTGCATCTGGCTGATTACAGCTACAGAAACTAGGAATGGCTCATATTTCCTGTGCTCCCAGACGTTCACTAGCCTTTGTCACCCCTTTAGGTTACTGTCGAAGAGGACAGCTACCTTGCCCACCCAACACGTGACAGAGCAAAAATACAGCACTCCCGACGCCCTCCAACACGGGGACATTTGATGGCTGTGGTACGTATAACAAATTCCAGACACCTGTATAGGTAAAATTCCCTTGTAACTATTTCATTTATAAGTAAATGCAAGAAGACCTGGTGTTTGAGCTCTGGCCTGAACTGAAAACTGTAAGACCCAGGGCTGTCCTGGGTCATCAGATCTAGTCCTCCGTTCTTGTAGACCATTGCATTGTGCAAACCCTTTTGCAAAGTGGTAGCTTGCCATCACTGACGCCCATTTTCCTGATGCTGAAAATTAAATGCTCCTTCAAGTTCCTGATGGAGAATAGCCATACAGCTGGGGAACTCAGTCATGGGTTAGCACAGACGGCTTGTCCACGGCCGTTCAGCTGATCTGCATCTCAGCTAGAACCACGAACCCAGCGCATCTGGGGCTCTGTCACTAGGTCGCACTTGCTAGTATTCCTGGTCCATCTTTGCATCCTGGCGGAGGTGATGCATATCTTCAGTATAAGAGACGTCCAGAAGTAGTGTGCAGCCATGCCTGTTTCTGTGACAACACAGCTCTTCTTTGTCTGTTTCTGCAGGCATCTACCTCAACGTCTGATGGCATGCTGACACTCGACCTGATCCAGGAGGAAGACGCCTCTCCAGAGGATCACAGCACCTGCGAAGAGAGTTTCCGGGTGGATCTGGATAAGTCAGTGGCACATCTAACTGCTGGCCGGCGCCGGTCAGACTCAGAGAACGTCAAGTCGTCAGAGAAACGCCAGACAGGGAGCCTCCCGAGACGGGAGGTAACCTCATGGGACAGATCTGGGCAGCGCAATGACTCCTTTGACAAAGGGACCATGTACACACCACAGGTCCCCAAAAAGCTCTCGCACTCAGAAAAGAATAAATGTGCCTCCATGGAAGAAATTCTGTCTCGACGGGACTCTTCCACGCACCGGGCGGTGCTGAGAAGGGGGCTGGAGGCTCAGTTTGCCTCAGCAGAACCAGAGCAGCTGTCCCGGATACAAGAACTGGTTGCACTGAAACTGGAAAAAACTCAGGAACTGCTGACAGAGGTGAAGGGCTACGGGGAAGGCAAGAGAAAGACCAAGGATTCCAACACCAGCACCACCACCACCACCTCTTCTTCCTCATCATCTTCCAAGTCGGACTCTGAAAGGATCCTGCAGGAATCTGAGAGGTTGCTGGGGGAGGCTTCCTCCACCTGGAGCCAAGCCAAGAGGGTGCTGCAGGAGATCAAAGAGTTGAGGGACCTGTACAAACAGTTTGAACTGCAGCAGTCGGACTCAAAACCCAAACAGAGCTCACAGTCTCAGTACAGGAAGAGTATGATGTGAAGGCAAGCCTTGGGATTGGGAGGGAGGGACAGGGGAGGGCGGCCATTTGGTCTTTTTTTTAATTATTATTATTTACAGTGTTCAAAAGAGTGAAAAGGTGCCTGTTCTCACCCAAATTTGCTTCTCAAAGCTTGAACCCTTCCTTTCCTCCATCACATCCCCTGACGAAACAACCCTGTGTTCCGATAAATTCAGTTACAGTTTATACCTCCTTTTTTAAAGAGCACCCTTTGCACCGCAGGCCCCCAACTTCTGTCATGCTTGGAGGACGGAAGAAAGCACCAGTTCCTAGAAAATGCCCCTGCATGCCTGGAGCAGCACGTGCATAACAATGGGGACAGATGCTCTTGCGCTGTATAAGCCCTGGCTTTGCTGCTCTAACGTCTGAGCTGTATCCTGCATTACAGCTCCTTGACCAAGAGTCTCGTCTTGTTCCCTCACTGTCCTCCTGGAAATAAATGACAAAAAAAGGTGTCCGTCCCAGCCAATGCTTGGAAGTCCCCATTATCCAGGAACTGTCTTGAAGATGCTTGGAAGTTCAGGCTGACCTCAAGTTTTACGCGAGTCATCAGAGGCACTCGCTGGACTGCAGCTAGCGGGGTTCTGTCCTGGCACAGGTCCCTTTTGTGAACTCCTGGGGTCGGCAGCTGTTATTCTTGTGGTACATATACAGCCCTCCAGAAGGAGGGCAACAGGTATGCAATCTGTGTTCAAACTAATCCTGTCTGTCCGTTGATGCTTTACAGAACCCCCTTGGCCCTGTGCAATGGGAGTTAGCAGCTATATGTCTTCCTTTCTGTGCAAATAGAGGATCAAAGCCTTGAATTTAACAGACAGCCCAGATGGGTTGTTTGGGGGGGTTGTTTTCTGGCTTTTCCATTTTCGTTTCTTTTTTTTTTTCCTTTTCTTTGAGCTGAGGGGAAATGGAAAAATCAGGGTTGTGTACAGGCGGCAGCCGGAAACCAAGAGCCAAAAGTAGTTTTGGAAGGTTTGATTCTGTTCTCTCATGCATGCACAGGCTCGGTTTCTGCCAGTCGGACTGCAACAGGTAGTCCTTGTTGCTCCCCTAAGATCAGAATCAGGCCTACTGAAATGAAAGCTGAGCCTGTCAGAGAGCTCAAATACCCTCATCTTGGTGATGCCAAGCACTTTGCTAAATAGGTGGCTCAGTTTTCACGCCTTTAAGCAGAAAGACAAGAAAGGAGGATGGTAAGATGTCTCACAGGGCTTAAAGTACACCAATGTGGTAACATCCAACCGTTACTTTTTTTTAAAAAGGAAACCTAATTCCCTTACCTACATTGCAAATAATCCATGAAAATATTAAAACCAACAGAGTTATTTCCTGGTCGCAGTTGGTGTTGTCTATTTTCTTTTAATGGTTGACCTCCCTTGGAAAGGAGATTGGTTACTGGTCAGCTTTACTATTCAGGCTCATGTTGCTGATGTATAGTTGCCAGCGCTGCAAAGAAAGCATTTCTGTTTTTTTAAATTAGTCCTTCTCCCACTCTCCTGTTAGAATTACTGGTAGAATTATTACCGTTGGCACTAGGTTCCTGAAGATCTTATTATTTACAAACTTCAGATCTGGCCCTCGCAACAATCTTTTACTTGTTCCCGACTCTAGCACAGCTCTTTGCCCACTCTTAAAGGACAGTTTTGAAAAGGCATCACTCATTCACCTAAGCTCTTGTCACAGCGCTGCATGCTACAACTGTCCAGGGGTATACATGTTACCCTTCCAGCATTTTTGTTCTTTTCCATTTTTTTCCCTTACCTTTTGTACCACTTGAAGGATCTGTTTGGATGCACCGGAGGAAAGAACATAATCCCTAAAAGAGATTGAAAAAGAATGCATGTGAGCCACTCCGATAAAACCCTTCCCATTCAGCTCTTCGATCGAGAGAACAAGAAAAATATGCAAATACTTTCCAGATGTGACATTCAGCATTAAAATTAGCCTTGTTTTTAAAATAAGAAAGCTAGTCTAAAAACTTGGAAGTTTGAATTGCACTCGACTGGGATGGTTGTGTGTTGTGACTGGCCTACCGGACAGATGTCAAAATGTAAGCATGAAAATACACCTGATCCTGACTGGACAGGGGTCATTAAATGCTCTCAAGACTTTCTTAAGCAACGAGGCAATACAAAAATTGCTGCTTAACAGGGTCAAAACAGTGCTAGAGGCAGGGATGAAACATTGAGCGGTCACCCAAAACAGGTGACTTTTTTTTGCTAACCAAGGGTAACAAAGGGCATCTTTTTGGGTAACCAAGGGCATCTTTATTTCACTGCTGCCTCCACAAGGTTATGGAACTGAATCACATCTGATAAGACCTAGATGTCTGGACACAGCGTTGCCATCTTTAGGTCTCTGCTAGCCAGAGAAAAGGGATGCATTACACACTTGTCAGAGCTGGGCAGAAATACGGGACCATTTCTGCTCTTCAGACCAACCTGTGCAAGCCTTTTTATTTTGTAACTAGGACAAGATTTGGAGGAAATGATGGAGCTGACTTAGGAAGTTAGGAAGAAACTACTTCCAACCTGGGAAGAATTGCAGTTCTCATCCTGCCAAAACCCAGGAGGCAATTTCCTAGTTCTAGTCTGAAAACCTAAAGGGCCAAGTTCGATGCAGCTCTAGGTGCAGCATTTCCCTTTGGACAGCAGAGTGCTGCCTGGGTACTGAGCCACCGCACAACTGCAGGAGTGGCAGCTTTTCTGCTCCCAGTGCTACGTTCTTGCCCTAGAAGATGTCCAGCTCACCCACTGTTTGTGTCTTACCCCAGGCTCTTCTCCTCCACTCTGCGGGGAACAGAGCGCATCAGGCTAGCATAAGTACGACATGCGATTTAGGACAATTTTTCAAACTGTACAACACAAGATCTCAGATCTGATCCATACATCGGCTCCTCCCTCCCTTCTCTCCACCTCAGCTCATCACTGCTGAGTAGGACCTTGTACAGATGTACTACTTCCAAAATTGATTGGAAACTTTCAGAATACGTTCCCTGTTAGAAAGCATCATTTCTGACAGGGCCCAGGGAAAAGGAATAACTTAGGAAAAAAAAGTCCATGAGTTTTCAGAGTAGAAAACATATATTTTTCACTTGGGAATATTTTTGTATTATACAAAATGTGAATTTTTCCTTAAAAATCTCTCCACGTCAAAATAAAACATTTTGGTTTACCAATTGCCCCCCTTCAAGAAGCCTGACACTTTTTTCCATGGGCAATTTTTACATTGTTTTCATTCAAAACAAAATTAAAACTCGAATTGTGGAATTCTTCACAAGGCAGAAATGCCAGGCTCCAACCGGGTCCAATTACCAAGCGGTGAAAACTTCAACCCTGGGCTCAGCCTCCGTGCTGCCGAGCAGTGTCTATTACTGGGTCATGGCTAAGAGACCCAGTCACGCACCAGAGCCAGAGTAGAGGGTTCTGTGTATTATGAGATGTTTCCCAAGAATATCTATAAATTCATTCCCTACACTAGGAGCCTCTGACTCTAGACATTGCATGAATTGAAAGGATTGAAGTCTCTCTCTCCCCTTCTCCCACATGGGCTATAATTCTGCCCTCTTTTTATTCTTTTTTTATTTATTTTAAATTTTGCAAAGTTCTCCCCTCTGTCAATCCCGCTTCTGGGATTAGAGACAAAAAGCCAATTATGAGCAAGAATGGCATGTGTGGGGAAAACATGCCAGTCACGTTAGTGCCACTGTTTCTTCCCTTCCTGAGCACAGCTTCCTGAGTGGAGAACCGATGGGGAAGCTGGGGCTGGGGCTGCCGGAGGGGACAGTTCCTGAGGGCAGGGAGAAGTGGGTTGAGCCCGTTTCCTCCCACTCAGCGGGTGCCGTTCATTGACAGATCACAGTTAGCGACAGTTTATTCTCTGTTTAGCTGTGTAAGTGGCTAAGGAAGGCACTGAACAGAGCGATTCTCACCCTTATTTTCTCTAACTGAACCACATTCGAAAGGACTGAGTAGAAATTTTGCGCTTTTTTTCCCAAAAAAACCCCTACAAACTGCAATAATAAAAATGATTCAGCCGCAATTGCAGTGATTCTCTCTAGTCTCTTCTCAGCACGCCTACACCGAGGAAGCCATTCACACCAAGGAGGGTGGGCTGCAAGTGGGAACCTGCTTCCAGCCCAGCTCGCTACTGCCCCAGGGGGGTCCTTGCACCAGGGGATGGGGAGGAAATTATGATGCTGCGATAAAAAGGGATCTTCCTTGTGAACGGATTTGCAGTCCGTGTACCGTAACAGCCCTAAGTCATCGAAGGAAGGGAATTGTCCTTGAATTGCCGCTGGAACCTCTGAAAAGGATTCCAGCAGATTTTTTGGAGATTTGTGAGGGTTCAGGAGCCTGCGTGAGTTTTAGCATGCAAGTCACTCAAACTGAAAACATGCCTGAACACTGAAGTGCTTCACAACAGCTAAGAATGAGGGTCTGCTGTTCTCTTAAGGCCTGGCTTGTGGCTGCCTCCTCCCAGTGCCTCGGACATAATTCAGATGGTCCCAAGACAGCAATTCACCCTCACTTCCACCACAGCCCAGAAAATCTCAGCTTCAGTCCAGCAAGCCTACAGGAAGACTGCGCTTTGCAACCTGAGACAACCTCCCAGTCGTCTCCAAGACATTAAATCGAGAGCCGCAGCAGTAATCTCAGCTTCCGAACTCTCTGGGAAAATTGCTGTTCCTGTCCAAAAGCCCCTCAGAATTGCTCTGGGCACTGGGCAGCAATTTTTCAGGAAGATCAGATGTTAACATGTGAACAAAACAAAGTTGAAAATGAAGAGTTCCTTTATACCTGGTCTCTCTACAACAGGATGAAGGGCAGAGTCCACCTGGAAGCTGAGAGGTTTTGTATTTTGCTTTCACGCCTGTCTGGTGCTTAAACCTTTCCCTTCTGTCTCCTTTCCTCTTGCTGCACCTGCCCCAGCCTCTCCACAGAGGAAGTGTCCCCACGGATGGCCGTGTCTGCCTGCGCCCACGGGCACCCTTCACCTGGCTGTACCACGGCACTCAGCAGGTGGCTGTGTCGAGAATAAATCAGTAGGCATGGTGGCTCAGCAGGCACACCCCATGCGAGCGTGTGCCTGGGATGCTTCACAGCATAGCAAGGAAAAATTTGCAAGGGGAACAAGCAGTGTCAAACGCGAGCAAATCATTCTTATAAAAGCAGTTCAAGAATTTGAAGAG